TTCAAAAGTGAATGATGCCTAGAAAGAAAGTAAAAGTAAAAAACATAACGTAACTCATCAATTCCATAAGCAATACTGTAATTTAAAATAATTGAGTCTATGACGGGTATTAACATGAAGCAGTATGCTGATTCTAGGGGACTGTTTATTGTTAAAAAACCAAAACGTAAGTACGCCGTCTCAGTGGACCTTGCTTGTATAATTATAGCCTTGAATTACGGGAAAGATAATATTTGGAGTCTTGTTACTAAAACAGTTCATAAACAAAATCCCTTAGTGATGTTCTGCTTATTATGAATATGGTATTACCTTTGATACTCTCCTACATCAGCTATTTTAGTAGCATAACAGGTAATAAATATTTAGTTATTCTAGTTTGATATCTAATGCTTCTGAAATTATAATTCAAAACCAAACATCAATATCAAACCACTAGTTTTCTTCATAAATTTCCATACAACAAAACTTTGAACTAAAAATAAGTAGTGGCACGTCTAACTATTCAAAACGAAGTAGGTAACGCACACTGAAATACATATTGTACTTACTACATTTATAAAAATGAAAATAAGGAATACAATAGTGAAAATGTCAACTACAATAGATAAATCAAAACAACAATGGGGAAGACAAAAGTACATGTATCATTATATTGAAGTCAAATTATTATGGAAGGTTTACAATACTCATAAGAACTGAATTAAGCTATTGCCTTATGTAGAGATGAATTAGTAGAATTTGGGATAATCAACTTCAAGCCATCACTATAACATGAACTTGTAACATATAATCTACTGGATTGCAACTTCAATTGTTATGACTAATATACTTATTTACGCTGAGAGTAGAACATTTTACAAGATGACAGTCTCAATAATTCATCAGTCGATGTCACTTTGTAGTATAATAAAAAGTACTAATCTTCGCTACGCCATCATAGGTATTTCTCATCAACTGATCAGTTCATACTATTTTAGCCGTGATAACTTCACCAGAACCGCTGGATATCAACAAGCCAGATGCGAAGTTTGAGAGAGATTTTATTTCAGGCATAACTAAAAAGCAGATCAAATTTGAAACGAGCAGAAAAAGTATGCAGATTCATTTCACATGGGATAACTTAATAATCCTTCAGTTTAACGAAATGTTCAAGGTATACGGAACCAGGCTATTACACTATATCTAGATATTAAATAAACCGGTCACTTTAATTAATCTTAATTCAATCCATCAAGTAGATTACCTGAAGGACAGTATTTGGTTTGATTATAATCACTTTTTACCAGTAATATAAAATTCTAACATAATCAATAACCTATTTCGATACCATATGATAAATTGTTCACACACACTCGTTTATTATATTTTTATTTACTAATACTTCCCATTCATACATTTAAATATTAAATTTGCTTTCTATTTTGTAGCAATCTACTATCAATGAAATCGGGGAACATTTCCAAAAAACATTATGTCATCACCGGACAAAAAGTGAAGAAATAATAACAATATCCCGTCTTAATTCAATAGATGAATCCTTATTAACAAAATGTAAAGAAATATGTAAAATGAACCATACAAACCCTAGTGGAATGACAACTTGTAACATAAACAGTGGTGATCAATTGAATAATACTTCTACAACATTTCACAAAGTCACATCATTGTAATTGGATTGTATTAGGGATATTTTTTTAGTGAAAAGATAAAACGAGTGCATAGACGATAAGCGGGAATGTAAACAATGATAGCACTAAGAGGAGTTGAACATGCTACACTAAGATGACCTTGAGAGACTATAGTTAGAAATTTTCTATAATAGAATAACCAGGATGTTTTTTTTATATATACTTCTATGTATTGTTGCCCTATCATGCAAATTTGTATAGACTCTAGAAATTAAACTTATTCAATGCTTTAAGGTGATGGCTTTAGTGATGCCTGGAAGTGCATTGGTTAAGTAGTTGTGTTTATCATGAGCGGTTAGATTTAAGATGTTAACTTATTTCTCAAATCGACCCTTCTTCGAATACATATGATTCTGGTATAAATGTATGCACCGATTGATCATTCAAAATTGACCATTTGTTCTCGGATTTTCAAGCTACCACTTTCAGACGTCAATTTTTAGATACTATCTTTACATGGTTTTTCCCGTTTCATTTTTCTTATTGAATCAATTGTACATTTTGCCGAATACCTTAACTTTGATATTGTCATATATGAGCATATTTTTACTTATAAACTAGATAAGTAGTTTTAAATTGACGTTTAAATGAACAGATTTAGAGCAATAATAATATCAATAGAAACCTCGTTTGTCAGTCATTGTGTGATCACTTTTATTACTCTTTTCTTCACGTTATTTATTCTGGATGGAATATTAAAATCATCAAAGTACCTGTGAAATCATAGGACGAATAAAATATGTATTTTGGGTAGCTATGAAATTCAAGACATGCGTCTCGCCCTATTCGGGGATCCACCAGTCCTTAGCATCAACAACAGGATAAATCTAACCCATGCCAACAGTGATATACAATATCTTTTGTTAGTAGATTTTAGGTTTGTTTAGAGATTATCATGATCGCCTTACCTGAGTGAACACAGAAAGGGCAATCTAACATTGAGTACAGCAAAAGAACAATAAGTGAGGTAAAATAACATGAATTCATTTTGTTGTCATCAGTTATTTACATAGGTAGAATTAACGAAACATATGACTTGAACTACAAACCTACAAAATTATTGGTCTAATGATGCAATAATTAAGTTTATTTCTATTATTTATAACAAGAATACATTCAACAATTATTTGTACTGATGGATGGTGAACTGGTTGTTGGAAATTATATAATTTATTAAAATATCTGTATTCGTTGTCGATAGTATTGAGTTCTCTGAACTAGGTTCTCATCAACTCACTACAATCTATAATATTCGAAAATCAAAATTGTAATGTAGCTTGGAAATTATTATGGTAAATATCTGAATAAGGTTAAGAGATGGAATAAAATATTACGATGTCGTATGGAGGATACTCGAGAACACTGAAAGCAAAACAACAAACCAAAGGGGCTAGAAATAAGTGATTATGTAGTGAACAAAATCTCAAAAGAATAATAAAATAAATGAAGCTAAGTCAGTTTGAAGTAAACCTATCGAAAGAGAACCAGGAAATGATGCGAGGAAGTGACCAAAAAAAGGGACGTTAAAAATCTGACCTAACCATGTAAGTTACGTTACATGGGTTACCCTGACGCTTGTTTTTGAACACGAGTCAATTTTTTATGCTTGATAGCAGAAGCTTGAGGAGATTTTAGTAGACTAGAGTTTGGTTGCCTACTAACCAATTTGGAATATCACATAAAGTCCACCTGATGTCTCGTACCCGAGAAACGCTTAGAAATTACTGTACATCTTTATTTTTATTGAACGAAGACTTCTCGGGATATGATCTGAAGACTCTGCTAAAGAAAATAATGCCTCTTAGAGAAATTTCCAGGAGCCTCTCAGATGCAGTACACCAAGTGAAACCGTAATGCCAATACAGACATAATCGTTGCTAAAATGAAAGAAGTATCTGTCAACTCTTGATTGCACATACTTTACACAAGATTATAAGTTTGGCTTCGGGGTAGATTTTATGGCATCCAATGCTAAGTCTTCTGCCAAATTTCTTCGCAAAATTTTGACTGATCGAAATTCAGTTGGATAAAGGCGGCCCCTTCCAATGACTAGCTTCTTTCGGATGGTCTTTAATTTTTTTATGTCTAACAATAAACCCTATATCCGGGATTTTCGAAACAGAGTATGCGAGAAATTTCGCAAAACTGTAGACGACATTTTTGAAAGAACAATTATATGGTTTTTGAGTAACAATTAAAATTTTTTATAACCTATTGAGTTTAGAATTAAACAAAATAGAGAATGAAGCTGCATATGGATTCAAATTTCATATTCTATAAGACTATTGATAAAATGGATGCTAGAGCTCAATAAGAAAACTCTTTGACAGGTTGAAGGACTGGAATTCAGTAAATGAGAACAATAAGGGTTGGTTTCAATATAAATTAGTCGATATTGGTAACCACTACTTTACCTCACCCACTTCAGAATTGAGAATACTATCTAATGAACACGAAATTTGATTGCCACACTTACAAAACAAAGACAAGATAATAATATTGCAGCCAAATAAAGGTTACCAAAATTTAATCCATTTTAAATGACTAGCATAGACAAATATAGCAAACTTGACTAATTCAAAGGAGAAACGAATCACTGACAACTCTACGTATAGTTATTAAAGGACTAAGTGGTTTTATTTGCCATACATGTGTGGTCTATCAAAGATACACATATCGAACATCCCACTCAGACCTATATAACTAATGATTAATTCAGCATGACAGAAGATAGCCCACTATCTAGCAGAGATGTGAGAATCATTTCATCAACAACTAACTGTATACACCTTGAAGAGTGCTATTTGATCTGTGGAGAGATTGGATAACATTAGCATCTCTAGTAAATTAATTACTTTCTTTGCTATAATATCCCTTTTTTACCAAAATAACTCGTCTTGAAACCACTGACGTTAAGTGTGATAATTCTGAACTTTTGTATTTATCAGTAACAAAGTTCAAATAATTGCTACTTATATCCATGTAAAATGGTCACTTTCACCGACGCGCTGTATAAAATCTTAATAAAATATATAGAGTTAAATATACGGAAAATATTTCTAATTCTACTTTTAATGGTAACAGTAGGAAGTTGTTTCAGTGAACGAAGATTAGTCAAATTAACTACACAAATTTTTCATATACCAAGTAATTAAATTTAGGAAGTAAAATAAAAGAAATCCATCCATCAATATAGACTAACTACTAAAGGTAAATAATATTGTAGTTTATATTTGACTGAAAATGAACAGATTACACAATAAAAGAGTAGTAATCCACTATACATATGTGAACATATAAACATACGAAGTGTTAGTCTTTGTATGCATTCATTTTTTCTGTAATACTTTGTACTATCTCCTGTACTGGTTTAACTTGTCCATAATAGTCGGAGAATTGTCCTTTCGGATCCAGTAAGTACATTATAACAGTGTGGTCAACCTATCGATATTAAATGTGAACAAACCATAAATATAATTTAAAGTAATATTATGGTGTAGGTTACTTATATCCATATAGGTGGTATATAACAGTGGTCAGGCAGAAGATCGATAAGGAAAGAACGAAACGGAACGCAATTGGTATGAAAAAACATGGACAATGAAATCTGAGACAATGGATTGATATTTGCAAAAGGAACAGTGAAGTTTGGGACGATGGATTGATATTATAGCACCTCACATGCAATTGAGTTTGTTCTCATTTAATTCGGTTAAGCTCTTTTGTTAACTTATTTAGCGGACAGAGTCATCCGTACTATAACAACTTGTTGTGCCTTTATTATTGTTGTGCTTATGTGAAATAGGTATGCTTGAACATTGCTTACCGCCTACGCATACATTCATTCTGCTAGCATTATTATTAGCTGCTTAACTGATCCGATGATCCATTCGTTTCCCTATATATATACATGTACATTTAAACCTACACACTCTACACTCTCAATTCGCTGACTCACTCACTTTGCCTTTCTGCTTTGTGGTCTGAGTTATTTGCTAATAAAACTGTAGTCGCTGCTTCTCTTTGCCTTCTGATTTCAAACACCGTTGAGGACTATATGGTAACGGTTACGAGGGTGATTGGTTAACGAAGCACAGCCACTACAATATTTTGAAATTAACTATTTACTATATGGTTCTCAGATTTTAGTGAGATGCTCTGTAATTTCGTGTCAGATACATTCGATTGTCCCCACTAGTGTTATTGTTCACTACAATATCTCGGATCTGTAACAAAAACACTAAGAGCTTGAAAGCCAGCTCCAGAAATTTTTATTGATCATTTGTCCAGTGTATCAAAGATTAATTCTTGGTGTTTGTATTTACTGATAAGCGCACATGAGCTATTCCCATATCGTTAGTTGATTCATATAAGAAAATAAAGCATTCAAACGGACACATGGTAGAATCCACTTTTTCCACTTAAATAGTGATTTGTTTGCAGGTACAAAACTCGTGGTAATTTAAAACAATCTTATTATTCAACAGACTTGCTTAAGAATAGTCTAAATAGAAAAGTTTTGAATAGACATGAACTACACAGAACACGTACCATCGAAAGCGTGAATGAATTCGACGAGATGCAACAGAGTTTCTATCATTTCTTCTACATGCATAACGATATGACATACACATCTTTCACATACACAGACATCAAGAAAATCAATCGAAGTTGTGGTTTAGTGGTTGAAAACCTCTACGTTCAACCAATAGGTCATACGGTAACTCAACAATGAGAACACAAAATTGAGCTTGGTTATGAATTTGCAGTAAATAAACGGACATAATAAAATTGATCTTTGTACACAGTGGCAGATTAAAATATCGCGGATAAACTTATGTTTTGAAGTATACTTGTGCGAAAACAGATATCGAATGTAACTTTTAGGAAGAAAAACGGCCTTATCAATCAAAAACGAAGAGATTTTGGCATGATGCCTATGAATCATAAACAATTTCCCCTGTGGGGATTAAGAATAAATCAACAACAAATAAAAAAGTGACGATTATAAATTGGACATTATGGTACATAGTGTGCAAACTGGTTGACTCCTTACAAATGTTACTGCATGAGGCTATCTGACTGATATGTTACGATCAAAAGATTAAGCGAGGGAATTAATTATTTAGCTTAAAATTTAATTCAATCAATTTGACAGACGAACAAGTATTCATTTCTTCATTCTTTCATTTATTTGTTTATTTGAACATATAAATATTGGTACGAGGGGGCACCAAATATATATGCGCCAAACAATAAAAATGAAATTGTGAAGAGATGGGGAATGGAAGGCGAGCATATTAAAAAATGGAAATCAGCAATGAACGAAAATTATTGTATGAGAGTGAAATTATGATTGTCATTATTATCATTATTATGAAAAGAGAAGTTCAGTTAGGTGAAATACAACCAGAAAGAATTCCTTCAGTTAAAGTTGCGTTGACTTTTATGAAGAAAGTAAAGGAAAGTTACAGCAGGTTCGCCACTGGCTTTTACTCTGAATTATTTCTGATAGTTTCAAGCCACTACGTTGTAACATCTTCAGGAACCCACCAGGAAATATTGGAGGGTCAACAGAACCCAGTCCTGTACAGCTTTCTTTCATATCACGACACCATGACGTGCACTAACCACCTCTCCGCTTTTTTCAACCGGTCTTAGCGTCGGCAAATAATGTACGGTGTGGAACCACTGAAGTCGGTGTTTCAAGGTGGTGACACCAAATGAATTATGGTCGCTGTGCCCGAACACACAAGTTGAACCTCTGCATTACTAACATAGTGTTGACATTGAATGTCAGCAACCCTTCGGAAACAACGGTGATAACATCCTTAACTCAGAGAAGTCAGGTTTCACAAGCGTTGAGAAAAACTGCTCTCACCGTCGCGTTATAGATCCGACCTTTAAAAACCAGACTAATATCATGAAGGCGGTCCGCATTGACATAAGCCTCTCTGGATTACGTTATACGTGAATTGATCTACTCACTCATGCCACTACCAGCACTTACACATCCACCTAAATACACGAACTTCTCGACTACTTCTATCTGCACACTACTCAGGGTGAGTACAGGACCCTGGCCCTGCACTTAGAAGATGCAAAGCACATACCATACCTACGGACACTTATTGCTAACTGGTTATCGCACAGTGAGACAATATTATCCGCATACTCAAGATCGAAATGTCTTTCTCCAGGCAACGGGTCCATACTATCATTATCTACATCCATCAGGGCTGTTTCCAGAACGTCATCGCTAACAAAGTTGAAGAAAAACGGTGAAATTAGACAACCCTGCCTAACCCAACTGTTTGAATGGAACAATGGAGAGGTAGTTGTATGCCATAACTCTGTCTGGGGTGCCAGCATATAAAGCCTTAAAGACGTTAATAAATTTTTCAGGCACACCCTTCTTCAATAGACCATTCCAGGGAACACGTCTGTCCGACGAATCGAAAGCGGCACTGATGTCAAGAAACACTATGATTGTTGGCCTGTAATAGGTAAGACGTTCTACAACTTAGTGTGGGGGGTGAAATTGTGACCAATACATCCTCCATGGGAACGAAAACCAGCCTGCTCCCCGCGAGTCAATCTTACTCGGGTTCGGAAAATCTAAGAAGTTTGTGATGTGAACAGGGAAACAAGAAGCCCTGACAAACTACGAAAGCTATTTTTCGGTACGTTATTTCATTTTATTCAAAGCTTGTAAAACACTGACATATATTTTTGTCCCTATTTTATTCTACAGAACATGAGCTTTCGTTCGATGTATCATTCACTGCCATATCCCTTTTTGTTCCGAAGCTATTGTAATTTGAAAATAATATTTTGCATTTTATTTTCTACTCTAATTCCCAGTTTTGAACATAATTGTGTTTTCCCAAATTATTGTACGTTGTGGTCGGGTAAATCACCTATTTATTCATGTACCTTTTTGCACTAATCTGAATTCAGAGAATTTACAGGAAAGCAGTATATCGGAATAGAGCGAATAGTGTTCCAGTTGTCTTGTCTTCTTTCATTACCGTGCTTGTCAGTCAATCATGTGACAGAATAGTTTTCTTCTCTCTACCCCGCCTCGAACTCACGCGTACTAGCCTCAAGGTTAAACCGGTCACCCTATTGCGTCGAGGTCTTAATCTATAGTAGACAGATCAAGGTCATAACACTTTGGATGCAATCGGAAGTAGACTTATCCACCGATAATTGATGTAAAGATGATGCGAACCCTTTTTAAAGATAGGGACAACTATCAACTCATCCCACGACGTTGGAACACTCTAATTGCCAGACACTTGTAAATAACTCAGTTCATTGACCAGGTCTCCACCATTTTTAGAAAGGTTGTATCTTTTCATTTCTGCAGCAATTTGGATGACTCTCCCAGTTTCCCATATTGTACGAGCATTCCATGTGCCTAAGTTAATCGTTGTTCCGGTTGTCGGAAGGGACATTAGCCTTGTGACTTCCGAAGGAACTCAGGTTCCACCATGAGGCGTCATAACTTTTCTAAATGAAGACCTTCTAACTCCCGTGGCAGAGTTTAAATGGCTTGAATTATTTCTTCTGGTTAGCGGTTTTTAGCGAGTTAGTTTTCTAAGGGCAGGAAAGTCTGGTCGATGTCACCGAGGTAGCGGACCAGTTGAACTTCTTGAAAAACTCTGCCCATCGTCCAAGACGTCGGCAGCAGTTATTGTTCAGCATCTCATCAGCTTCACAAATTTTTTTCACGCACGTCAGACTTCTTGCTGCTAGCGATTTGAACGATTTGAAAGCCACTCAACACCCAAAACCCAAACACCACAATTTCATAAAACCAAAACCATTTAGCAGTACTTTAAACACTAATTCATCATATATGCTACTCGTAACATGCATTCAATGTACTGAATAACCACTAAACACCAAAAAAACTCACAATATAATCGCCATCTGCATCTTTTGGTCCTGCACTGTAATAAATACGATAGAGCTTAGAAACTTTATCAATTTCTTCTTTAGTACCGGTCAGCCCGATCAGATGTGGCGAAAATTCTACAGCCAAAAACGAGAAAGAAAACATAATTTTATCATTAAAATGAGATCTTACCACTTACAATAAAAACATTTAATTAATCCCATTATTATCTGGTTGACCCAGTTACAGAACTTACTATAGACAATTATACAGTGACTCTGCTATTACCTAATGTACACATAAAAAACAATATGTTGACACTGCATATAAAATTGTAGGGATTTAAAATAGGAGTCAATGAGTTACACTTGGTGAAAGTATTGCATAGAGTAATACGTACGAATTTAGGCAATACTAGGCACCAGATATCATGGCCAATACTCACCAAATAAGATAACTGCTTTTCGGGTTCCCCTTGTACAATAACTCAAGTGAAAATATTGGTTGTAAGAGATTGCAATTAATCAAGACTCTCGACAGTATTAGAATTATTGTGATGACAGTAGTGAACAAGTCATTTTCACTGGCTTTTTATGTCATGAAAATTTTGGTACAATACGACACCGAAAAGTATATTATACAGGGTGTACCACACTAAACGCTTATCATTTGCACATTTTCGTACAAAAAAGTAAAAACAATAATATCTCTCAAGTGCTTGGCTTAAAACCACTCAAAATCATTGGTTGAAGACATGAATAAGATTATGATTTCACTTAATGCACTAGAAATAACTAAATTCATCTTATGATTTGTCTCTGATTAAATACTATTAACTGTGGTACTTCGAACGTTAACCTTTTTGAACAAATGAGCTGTTTTCAGGTTTTATATAGTTTTTTTTATTTATCTTCACTCCTGATACAGTGAATAAGTGAATGTAAATAGTTACGAATCGCTTTTAGATAGGAAAAATGATGGTTAAAATTTCATTTTTTTTTTTGTTCATAATTGGAATTTGACTGACAATTTGCTATATTTAATAATACAATACGAAATGCTAGACTTTAGATAGTTAAAATTAATCTGCATTAGGACTCATACTCAAGTATTATAACTGTTCATATTCACCAGTAAGATTTATATGTAATCTTGGACTTCATAAGTGACCGAGGATTTTATCATACACTACTACAACAAGTGTTACCACTGAACGGCTTAAGATATTACAGCGAAAATAAATATCCTGCAAAATGACACGAGTTCTGTAAAATTAACAACCCTTTGATTATTGCTAAATAGTACATTAAAATACAAGAAATATAAGATGAAAACTTATTACCTTTAACGTATTTAGCTAAAATATCTGGGGTATCACGTTCGCTGTCGACAGACATGAATACAGGCACTAAGGGATACTTTGGTTTTTCGATAAGCACTGTAAGAAAAAGCATATTTGTGATGTTTTAAGAACTGGTAGTATTAAAATATGGGATGGGTCGATGGTTTATAAAACTGAAAAACTAGGTTTCACAATGAGTGCAACAACCACTACCTTAATTCAAGTTTTTACAGAAAGGAAAGTTTTGATGAAAAATAAAAAATGATGCTCATCTAAATGTTTTTAGTTTTTCATATTTCTCCAACTGATGACTAAAAACTTAAGTGTAAAGCTGCCAAATGGTTTGACTTGGTATTTTTTATACGTACGAGACGAGATAATTAGATTAGCCTATTGTGTTATTGAATAAAAATAGAATCCAGTGAAAAAAATTTTCTTTTCTTCATGTCTGTTTAGTGGACAGTTGTCGCCCATATTCCTAACCTGCAAATTATTTTCATCCTCAGATGAAGATTTGTAGCTCATTTGGATTATTTAGGTGAGGTTTGATGTCGGATGCTTTTAGTATTCCCTCTATCTAAGATCTCAACATCTTCGCTTATATCAAAGCATGTGGACAACTGTGGACACACATCTGAGAAGTTTTAAAAGCTTGACGCTTAGGTCTATCAGTAAATAACAAACACATTGAAATCGATCCAATCTATTAACCAATCAGGAGAATCATGGACAAATATAGGATCAAGAATCAAATCAAAGGTAGATACAATCAAAATAAACAGGAAGGCAATGACAAGTTAAAGGTCAACAATAACCAATCAGGACCGAGACCGACAGGATAAGCTGTGTCATACGTAAAGAAGTTCAAATAATTCATTTTTACTTGAAGTTTGTGCTGACGCTGTTCAAAAGAACAATCGAAGCTGCATGGCCAAACCATCCAGCTCAAACAACAAAACTCCAACTATTTTCATCCTCCTATTCTTCTCTAACCCCTTGATTATTAGGCAACATTTTAACATTTGAAATCTAGGATCACTTTATAATGTAATCACTCTATCTTTCTACAGACATACATATCAAGCAACTATAAATACGAATATACAGCTTAAGTGTTATATTTGAAGCGCCTACGAGTTCACCTAGTCTGCGAATGGAACAAGACTCTGTGACCAAAGACCAATACGCTAACTATTCTGATCCGTCCCAGCTCCGATAACTAGAGAGAGAATTCCAAGTTCGAACACGGAAATACATCTCGCAAGCAGCCAGAAGCACGAGCAATCACGACAAGTCTAGTCGGAAATACACTCATTTATATATTAGTTTGTACACCCATGTTTTTACTAATAATCAGAATAAAATCACATATATGAAAAATACTTAGTTAACAAACTATATGCTGAGTATAATTCATGTTAACTTAATACAAGAATGTCGTATGTTAGACAGAATAAAATATCATAGGGGAAAACGAAACAAATACTATACTGAATGATCATTAAATTGAATTAAACGGAATCAATGTTGAATAAAAATCATAATGAGTAAATTAATCTAATATTGACTTTTCATCACGTCATAACATTAAGCAAATGATTTTGTCGAATAGGACGATACTTACACTAAAACAATTGCGTCCAATTTCCACAAAACAGAAATGTTTTGTAATCATAGCTTATAGATAATTAAGTGATTTGAACAACAATATACCACACAAGAATGAAGATAATTTGGTGGATAGATAGTCTATCATCCTCGAGTAAGACAATTTCACCAGTATTGCCATAAAATAAGCACCCTAAAAAGCGATATTATTTAGTTTTTACGAAAATAAAAAATGATTACAATCACTTTACCATAGCAATGCAAAAATAACATTTCAAATAAATGAACCTTTTTGAGTAGACCTAAAATCCCGAAATACGTTTTGGTTGAAGTATGAAAAACTTAAGGAAAATATGAGACCTATTGACTCAATGTGGTGCCGAAATAAACCATAATAATAATGAAATCAGCTGTTAAGACCATAGAACTACACTAGACAAGATTGCAAAATTACATACTAAGCAAAAAAGATGGTCACATTTAATAAAATTACTTAAACATTTCTTTAGCTTACTTATTCTGTCAGATACTTCCACGAGTCTCTCTATTTGTTCTGGGCATATATCTGGACATCGGCAGAACCCAAAGTACAACAGAACCCATTTTCCGCGGAAATCAGTTAATTTACATGGGTTTCCATTATGGTCAACCAAATTGAAGTCGCCACCAATAGATGGCAGACCATATTTTTGTTCTGATATTTTTTTGGCTAAAATGTTAGGAACAATAAGGTGAACGTTCGCGACAGTTGATTGTGATTTTTAATTATCATCCAACAATTTAAAAATATTCAGAAAAATCAACACGTAAGTTCTGAGAAATTGGCAGATGGAACCCATAAACAGGGTTATTCACAAATCAGGTTAAAAATATTCTCAACACGATGCTGAGTTACATTTATAAGGAATAAAAATATTTAGTTAACTGTGTGAAGACCAAATTAGTATGAGAAATAGGTAGTGGACGGAAAGATGAATAGAGAGTTACTTATTATCAGCCAAAGCTGTATAATGGTGTTTTATTAGCTTAAGCAACCAATTTCCAACATATTAGTTGGAGGCTCTAATTCGGTCCCCCTTCCAGATGGGTAGTCGGTTAGTATCGTTAGTTCTCATTATAAGTGGGGTTAGAGTATACAAAGTATAAAAGTACCCGCCAAATCCACTTAAAGTTATACACTGCAACTAGTAGCATATGAAACTGATGAACTATTCACAGTAATTTAATAAGTTATAACCAAACTTGATTAACCGGACTACGTCAAAAGTTTTATATTCACCTGCATACAATGAATTCAAGAGTTGGTAGTCCAAATTTGAGCATCACCTGCAAGGTGCTGAAACAAATAACTTTGTTTACTAAAACCAACATTGTCAACTCTATACATTAAGCTACTCACCTTAAACAAAACCTTATTAATTGTCAAGACTTTTCACCCTATAGTTTCATCCTGAATAAACGTTTATAAAATACTGTATCAACCACCCAAAATATATTCACTACTTATTATTTATTCGAATATAAATATTGGTACAAAGCGGTACTAAAATATATATGCGCCACAAAAATCAGTGGATGTGTGGCCCGGAATACTGTCCGGGTGCCAAAACTAAGGCAGGTAGTTTTTCTAAGGGGCCACACCCAGAGCCTTCGACCTAAATGTCTAATCCACAGGGCAATGGAACAACGCTAGGAGGTGCGGACTCATAGTAGCCGGTGACCAAGAGTGGGGTCAGTCACCATTTGCATCCTTAGGATCCTGGAGCCCATGTGCACCACTAGTTTGAAATCAGGGTTTTCCAACTCTCCAAGGTGCGTCTTCCGTAACCATAAACGCCGTTTAAAAAACCGGATATTCGCACTTCAAGTCATTCACCCGCTACGGCATTGCTATGTGACTGTTAACATAACGACATTGGGAACTAAACAAGAGGTAAGATAATAAAAAGCCACATATGTTTACTCTGCACCCGATGACATTATATAGCAGTGGGTGAAATGAATGAATGACAAAACAAAAATTTCAATTAGTATAATTAGATCCACAAAATTAGTCACTAACCTTTTGCAAGGTCTCTTGTCAGTAAGACTGAACCTACAGTAAATGACCCTGCAAGGAAAACGAAAGAGCACCAATGTATGTAACGCATCCTCTGGAAAGTACACACTGATAGGATGAAAAAAGGCCTACATCTTCTGGACTAAGGGTTGACCTGAACCTGGCAGGAATGAAGCCTTGAGACAAAAGTTTGCTGAACGCTTTGATCATTCCCATTAATTAAGTTTACCTCGACATCCCCAACGACTTTAAGCAATAAGACAAGACACGCATATCTTATTGATTCGGATCTTGCGCACAGTGATCACCTTCAGGAGTACGATATCCAATAAGCGTGTGTCGAAGTAATGTAAACTAGCTAATTTCGCCCTATTTGCGTCTTGACATGAAAAGGAACCTTCGGGTCTTTTAGTTTTCCAATCTCCCTATTTTGATGAACATTTCTTCCCTTTTGAGAAAATTCAGGGAAATGACATAAAAACCCCAAAATTTCCCTATATATGGGAAATCCCCAAAACTTTGGGGAAGACGATTAGGCTCTGGAGAAAACCCCGAAATAGGGAGATTGGGTTGGTCCATAATCATAAGCTACCAATTTTGAGACAAAGTCGATCGATTTTCGATAATGCTTGCGACACCCCTGTAGAAGATTTGGGGTGAACTTTGGGAAAATGAAGTAAAACTGGAAGTTCCTCTGAGCTGCGAATTTTTCCAAAACTTTGCCTGAACTACACGCAAAATGTCACATCGCAGCGTTTCACGATGACCATCTCCAAAATACAGATAGACCATAAAAACAAGAGCAGGTCACAAACGTTCAGACGACCTGGGCAGTTCTGTTGATATCACCAGGAGTCTGGTTCCAAATCAGTCAGTAATGTAGCTAAAATAGACTCTTAAGAATATGAGAGATGAATAACCTCTCTGAAAGTGACGACTGCTGAGTAGGGGTGCCTTGACGGTCGTCGTTTTATGTTGGACAGAAATTCAGGCTTAAACATTTCGGTGGATACCTGTGCTGCACTAAGTATTACGCCTCAGAACAAAAACGGCTGAGCCGAAAAATTCCCTCGGTTAAATTTCAGGCTGACAACAAAACTGAAGTCACGACATCTGAGCAGAAGACGTTAATGCTGGACTTAGGTTCTAAGAAGCAATTTCTCTGGGTGCCAACTGCAGCAGATTTAGGTTCCGCAACGATGGGAATTGACTTTTAGTGATATTGAACCCTAGCCACGCGATCTTTGAAGCTGAGCATATAATTACAGAGAAGATCCTCATTCAATATGTTACACTTAGGCAAGTTCAGCTCAACAATTGATCGGCACGGCAAGGTTCAGTCTTATGGATGTGGTCGCCATATAACGTAATCCTCTCCATATCAAACATATTATTCTATCCTCAACCTGGACGTAATCCCTCATTGGTCCAGAACATCATATTGCTAATCTTAACGATAACAAGTGTCGGTAAAGACGGTGAGATTTATTCCACGTAAGATCCTACAGATTAAGTAGTCACATCATGACAAATCTACAATTTGGGGATTAAGTCTGCTATCATAGTAGCGAAAATAAATGTACTTATACCAAACTAGACCATAATTCGGCAATGTTGGTACAATTTTCGCAAGTTAGTTATTCGGGATTGTTAATAGTATTAATAACAATTTATTCTCAAACAGCAGTCTGTTACGTGAGGCATGCCAGTTTACAGGTAAGATCAAATCGTTACAGGAGATACAGTCTTCACTGTGGTAGGTTACTCAGTTTGTTCGATGTTTTATAGGGTACATTGATCACAAAAGTGCTTAGAGACTTCTCAATTTTAGCAGTGGTGTAGAATGGATGTAATTGGTACAAAAGAACTTGCTTTTAAATTCGGACATGTTACTCTAAAGTATTTAGGCGCTGAGTTAATGCAAGATATTGGGGAGGAAGAATATATTTGTGAAATCTCAGAGACTGAATTTTAAGTAGACCTAACGTTTAGCCTGACAGTATGGTCCAAGCGTTTTCAAGGAGAAATAGCCAGACATTAAAATTATCGAATATAAACAGAAGGCTGTATACCAAATAGGTCATCCAATCATGTTTACACTGTTTATATGGTATTTGCTTCAGTGTGTAAGAGACATGTGATGTGTAGCAAAAAATGTTAAGATAGTAGATTGTGTGTATTCATGAGAGGCTTGAGAAGAAATTTCATTCACTATTCATCACCTCTGATTGGTGAATTTTCAAAAGAAAATATACAATTTTTTAAATGTTATGTGGATCAATTGTCACAGCATGCATAAAATGAAGATAAGTAAACAAAACAAAAATAATTATTGAATGAATGCTTGTGTTATTTTTGCTGTCCCAGCTAATTATTCAAAATATTCAGGTAAGATAGCATTGTTGTTACTCAGATATTAAGTGATAGATTGGATGGAATAATGAGTTTAGGCTTACTTATTATTCATTAGTTGTTATGGGACAGCTAACTGTATTCCATCCCTCGTATTAATACTATTTGAATTTGCACATATGTTTAGGATTTCATCTGTTAGTTTCACTTTGTAAGAATTCAAACGCTTTTGAAAGATTCTTGTGACAATGAGATAAATTGTACGACAATACTCTGTTAAGTGTAATGATATGGGTTATTTTGTCCAGCTTTTTTGTGTCAACTGAGAGTTCCAAAATTTGCATTAAGCATTTGTCTGCCTTCGCCATCACATGCAGTTGTCGTGATATTTCGGGTGACCTTATCCGCAACGCAACCATGTAAACTTAATGTATCGCACACTGTCATTTGTGCGTTCAAGTAACCACAGATTTTGTCATTTCATAATGTATTTTTAATTAAATAACTAGATTATGTAATTAATTTTTCTCTGTTTTTAATTTTTATTCGCCACGTCCGACTGCGTTACACTGTACGTCCATTGCATGCTGAGATGATATCTCAAGTCATAGTGAGTTTATTCACATAGTTGATTGTTTCCAGATAGACTGTCAGTGCATGATTTTACTGAAGAAAGGTTTGTTGTACTGTAAACTGTGTTTCTATGATCAACTCCCTGTTGTCTTCAGTGTGAATTCATACTGAATACTGCTTTAAAGCAGTATATATGTATCCTTCTTTTTTTCTTAGGTAAGTTCAACTGGCCTATATTTCGTGTTTTGGTTTTATCGGCTGAAAAATGTCCATTTAACTACTTTGAGCAACATGTCTTTGCAAGTGAAACAATAACTATGACACTTGGTTAGTTTAGTGTTCTTGGTTGTCGTATAATTCAGTTTAGTTGAAAGAATTATGATATACTTAAGTACAGTGCTTGAAGCCTGTAACGAAACAGATCAGTTTAGTAAGTAGAGTTGCCTGTTTCTAATGTGTATACGGATTCAGATCAGTCTGATTAAAAATAGGAAAAAACGTGCCTTTGATGCTGTTGCTGTCATACATTACAAGATAGCGATAAGTATGTTTGGTGTTTATTTCTAAACTGTACATCTATCAGTGACCATATTTCATGATAACTGTCACTAAACAATTTCTCCAGCAATAACATCGGTGGTAAGATAGCTAAGTGTCTGAGCTTTTATAGCTAAATGAAAACGAACTTCGGCTTTGGATATCTAGAAAACAAGGTAAAACATTACCGATTGTCGTTTAAAAACGTAAGGTCTTATGTTAGTACTAGCCAGCTTAGCTGAATAAATACAGTGACTTCAGTAGCAGCAGGTAAAACCCAGGAAACAAAGCGAAATCAGGAAAATTTTTGCTCCAACGTTTAGAGTATTACACTAACTTTTGGATTTTAACACACATTAAATTCTGTAGCTACACTAAAGAAATAGCGGAAAAAACACAGAACGAAGAAAGCCGGCCGACATTTTATAACACAAGACTAGCCAGATTGCCTGAAGAAATACATTGACTTGATGAGAAGCAGCAAAAACCCAGAAAACATCGCTGATTCAAAATAAACTTCACACCAACATATAGGACATTACACTAACTGCGGCATTTTAGCACACTGAGACATTAAATTACACAGCTACACAAAAGAAATAGCTAAAAGTAGCACAGAACGAAGAAAGCCGGCCGCCATTGCTTACGAAGATGGCGGATGTAATAATTCCCGCCTCATTCTGATTGGTTGCTAAGCTCAAGGGCACATTTACGAAATTGAGTTGCGTTTAATTGCAGCCAATATTTCACCTACATATATATCATCGCAATCACTACATTTGATTTCGTAGACAGTCTATTTGTCTTCATGTTTTATTAGATCTTTGTTACTAACCAGCCTTAATCTTCAAAAACATGTTTGTTAGAAAGAAGGACCGATCCTATGTCTTCTGAAATTCCTCCAAGACATGTGTCCACCAAAGAATTAACCCATCATCCACTCTACGTCATAATTTGCCGAGGATGCTCTGGTGATGGCGTCTGGTAAACCATTCACGATACGGTAAGAAAGTTTTGAACTTGCAATGTATTTTAGATATTTCTAATCTCAACATCCTTAAAACTAATATTCTGTCTGTTGTTTGCTGTGAACCTGTTATTTATAACGTGACAAAATCGCCAATCGGAACACCGACCTTGTCCTTGCGTTTCCAGCAGATCCTCATATTTCATTCAAAAAAATCATGACGAAAACCGAAAAATAACGGTCCTGTCAAAGAAGAGTGAGACATGTTAAAATACGGCTACGAAGGATGAAAATTTGTTGGGTGCAAGAGGGAGGGAATCAAGCGAAGAATAGTATCGCTGTCAAACAACAGACGTTGGGGTGACTAGAAAGCACTCACAGAGTGACATAGATGTTCAAAAAGACTTTGTATGTTCTTCCGTTCAACCTTGCGAACAAATCTCCTATACCTTCTGGTCCCTTGAAGAAAAAGTGTTTCGACACTCTAAATTAACCTCAAACATTGATTCTGGGTAAATGTTTTCTCTTCAGTTGTTTGGTAAACACTGAGACGACGACGCATCTGAGCTAACAGGAGTTACTGTCCACTTGGTTTCAAAGTGCCACTGTAAGTCTAACATCATAACATATCGTTCTACAGATATTTAGAATCTGTTTGTTGAGTGGGACTGGTTCAATTAGACGATGCTCAGTGAATTGTTGCTCTAGATTCTGAACACAAGTCTGAAACGTGAAAAAAGGATACGGTTATTTTATGAAGGTGGGGGTGAAAAAAGTGTGTAACATGTAAATATGTCACACTTGTTCAGTGCTTTTGTACGCAACACGTTTCCAACCGACGGAT